CTTGGAGGTCTCTCCCAACCAGGTTGACCCTACCATTCCATCTCTGTCCCCATGTCACCTCCCAGGGCTGACGACGGAGCAGATGCTTCGGAAGGACCTCAAAGTCATCTCCAGTGACGAGTTGCTCCTTGGCATCAGTGGCATCTACGTAGATCTGGAAGTGAGACTCGGTGGGCCCCAAACTGAAGCAAAGAGTGGCACATTGAGGTGCCAACCACGGTGACACCACCATCTTTTCCCCTCTCCAGACCTTCCTGCTCCGTCCTAACTTGCTGCAGGACCTGGAAACTTTCTGCCAGGCTCGTGGCTACTCAGCCTTGGTGGCCATGACCGTGTCCTTCAACGAGCGCCACGAACCCTCTCGCCAACTCGGGGTCTACAGCCAGAACCAAACCCTGCGTGGCACAGTGAGTTAAGGGCACCCCCATGCCAAGGCTTGGCATCTCCAGGAACATCTCAACCCCCCCAAAACCTCCTGATGTGCCACCACCTTCGCTCCCTCCTAGGTGTGTCGGGCGCTGGAGGAGGCCACGACGCCATCTTTGCACCTCCAACCTCTGCCGAGCCCGTGGTCCTGCGTGGCTGCCTATGCCCAGGGCAATGCCTTGGCATCACGGAAGAAGGTCCTGCCCATCCTGAGGGCAGCTCTGGGGGGTTTGGGTACTGCTGGGGGCTCTGAGGATGAGGTGGTCCCACCCCCCACCCCCATGAACAGTTTGGTGGAGGAATGTCCACTCGCCCAGGCCGTGCCCCCGTTGTGCCCTCAGGATGTCCTGGACAGGGTCAGTCGCATGGCAGCAGGACAAGCCTTTGGCTCTCCAAAAAAAGAGTGAATTTTGGGGTTTGGGGGAGAAATTGGGGACTCTGAGCAGGTCCCAGGGAGGTGGCCACACATGGAAGAGGTTGGTAGAACTCAACTCTTGCTCCTTCTTGTGGTTTGTGCCCCCGACGGGTTCCCCATGCCCCAGGTGCCCCCCAGGGTGGGTTTTGGGGGGTAGTGGCACCCACAAAATCAATGCACTAAGTGAGTGGGAGGTGAAGAAATTCTTGGTGATCTTCATCTCCTGGAGAAGGTTGGGGAAGGTCTCACCTGGTGGATCTGCCCACAAAACCAGCCCAGGATTTACCCACCCTCCTTTGCCAAGGATTAAATTGCCCTTTTCTTCCATTTTTTGCCTCTTGTTTTTTATTCTGGGATGGCACAGGAGCAACAGAGTTTAATCCCAGTTTTGCTCCAAAATTTTGGGGTTTAATCCCAGTTTTACTCCAAAATATTGGGGTTTAATCCTAGTTTGGCACCA